TCCAGCCATCAACACATTTGTGAAGGAATTTTTACTCCCCAAAAGAGCGCCCCCCCATGGCAGGGGAAAAAGTCCATTTTTTCTTGTCCCCTAAGGTGAAAATACACATTGTTGAATGTCACGCCTGTAAGCTTTGTCAAAATGACACAAAAATTGACACACACATGTATCTCAATAAGATCTACGAAAAAGTCAATGCGCGCGTATCTGTCAAATGTATGGTTAAAGGGTTATTCCGCATTTTTTGCCGATCCGCACACATTGGAATTTCGCTAACTCCTCCGAAGGCTTTCTTTCCACCGGCACCACATTTGCTCAGGCCAATCTACACCCCATGGCCATTAAAAGTTATTCAAATCATGACGCTGCACCCCACGGTTTAGGTTCTAGGGGCGCCAAAGATAACCCAAAAATCCACATTCTTAAAAGTCTTATAACTTTTTATTTTTGTCCTCACTGGCCTCCAAGTTTTCTAGGATGATGCAATGTCCAGCCATCAACACATTTGTGAAGGAATTTTTACTCCCCAAAAGAGCGCCCCCCCATGGCAGGAGAAAAAAGTCCATTTTTTCTTGTCCCCTAAGGTGAAAATACACATTGTTGAGTGTCACGCCTGAACGCTTTGTCATATTGACACAAAATTTGACAATCATGTGTATCTCAATAAGATCTACGAAAAAGTCAATGGGCACGTATCTGTAAAATGTACGGTTAAAGGGCTATTTTGCATTTTTTGCAGATCCGCACACATTGGAATGTGGCTAACTCCTCCGAAGGCTTTCGTTCCACCGGCACCACATTTGCTCAGGCCAATCTACACCCCATGGCCATTCAAAGTTGTACAAATCATGATGCTGCACCCCACGGTTTAGGTTCTAGGGGGCGCCAAAGATAACCCAAAAATCCACAGTTTTAAAAGTCTTATAACTTCTTATTTTTGTCCTCACTGGCCTCCAAGTTTTCTAGGATGATGCAATGTTCAGCCATCAACACATTTGTGAAGGAATTTTTTCTCCCCAAAAGAGCGCCCCCCCATGGCAGGAGAAAAAGTCAAGTTTTTCCTGCCCATCGCCCAATGGCTCAAACGCATCGCTCTCTCGGCAAAACCGAAAGGAGGAGCAACTTGCCATTTGGATATATCCTAGCTGTGTTTGTGCCCTCACTCATGGTCCAGACTTTTTTCAAATAGGACATGGAATTTTTCTGCAGCGAGCGTTTTGGTAGAAACTGCGCCTCCCATTCATTATAATGGTAAATGACCACAGACAAGTGCGCACACCATCTTTGGACCTTGAGTGTGACGCGATCGGGAGGGGGAGGAGGTCGTGCTGGGGGCGGCGCGACACGGCTCGGGCCCGCCAGTGCCCCATCGGGGCCCTAGTTATTTTTCTGCCCCTTTGAACTGGAAAATGGCCCACTTCCCACTGGCGAAAACTCATGAAATTTGGCAGGACGACCGGGCCTGGTGAAAAATTCGATATTCTGAAGTCGCCCAAACAATCAAATGCAAAATGGCTCCATAGCGCCCCCTAATGTGAAAAATTCACATGATTGAGTGTCACGCCTGTACGCTTTGTCATATTGACACAAAATTTGACACACACATGTATCTCAATAAGATCTACAAAAAAGTCAGCGCGGGCGTATCTGTCAAATGTACGGTTAAAGGGCTATTTCGCATTTTTTGCCGATCCGCACACATTGGAATTTCGCTAACTCCTCCGAAGGCTTTCGTTCCACCGGCACCACATTTGCTCAGGCCAATCTACACCCCATGGCCATTAAAAGTTGTACAAATCATGATGCTGCACCCCACGGTTTAGGTTCTAGGGGGCGCCAAAGATAACCCAAAAATCCACATTCTTAAAAGTCTTATAACTTTTTATTTTTCTCCTCACTGGCCTCCAAGTTCTCTAGGATGATGCAATGTCCAGCCATCAACACATTTGTGAAGGAATTTTTTCTCCCCAAAAGAGCGCCCCCCCATGGCAGGAGAAAAAAGTCCATTTTTTCTTGTCCCCTAAGGCGAAAATACACATTGTTGAATGTCACGCCTGTACGCTTTGTCATATTGACACAAAATTTTATAATCACGTGTATCTCAATAAGATCTACGAAAAAGTCAATGCGCGCGTATCTGTAAAATGTACGGTTAAAGGGCTATTTCGCATTTTTTGCCGATTCGCACACATTGGAATGTGGCTAACTCCTCCTAAGGCTTTCGTCCCACTGACACCAAATTTGCTCAGACCAATCTACACCCCATGGCCATTAAAAGTTGTAAAAATCATGACGCTGCACCCCACGGTCTACGTTCTAGGGGGCGCCAAAGAGGACCCAAATATCCACATTTTTAAAAGTCTTATAACTTTTTATTTTTGTCCTCACTGGCCTCCAAGTTTTCTAGGATGATGCAATGTCCAGCCATCAACACATTTGTGAAGGAATTTTTTCTCCCCAAAAGAGCGCCCCCCCCCCCCCCATGGCAGGAGAAAAAAGTCCATTTTTTTCTTGTCCCCTAAGGTGAAAATACATATTGTTGAGTGTCACGCCTATACGCTTTGTCATATTGACACAAAATTTGACAATCACGTGTATCTCAATAAGATCTACGAAAAGGTCAATGCGCGCTCAATGGCTCAAACGCATCGCTCTCTCGGCAAAACCGAAAGGAGGAGCAACTTGCCATTTGGATATGTACTAGCTGTGTTTGTGCCCTCACTCATGGTCCAGACTTTTTTCAAAAAGGACATGGAGTTTGTCTGCAGCGAGCAATTTGGTAGAAACTGCGCCTCCCATTCATTATAATGGTAAATGACCACAGACAAGTGCGCACACCATCTTTGGACCTTGAGTGTGACGCGATCGGTAGGGGTAGGCGGTCGCGCTGGGGGCGGCGCGACACGGCTCGGGCCCGCCAGTGCCCCACCGGGGCCCTAGCTTGATATTGTTATTGTAAATGTACAATGAAATGGGAGGCATTCCTATCAGGTGCAAACAAAACACAGCAAAATATAAAAGTTATACAAATAAATAGGCGAAGTTCTGAACAGAAAGGAAAATCAAAACAAACCATTTGAGACAGTTGCTGTATGTTGGTATAGCAGCAGTAGCACTAACGAGAGTACCGACATCCTGATGAAAAGCGATTAAAGGAGACGAAACAGCAGATGAATATGGTCTCTTATTTAGGGGGTGAGAGGGGTAAAATTCAACCTGCCTGATGATTAAGTCGCAATGCTTCGTGTGGTGGTTCTTTCCTTTTCTTTGGTTGGTTCGTGTTTATTTAGGATAACAATCTCGCATTTTTCAGTGAAATGACAGAGCATTACCTGCACCAGCACCATGCTCCAGCCACAATGAGTAGATTTGAAATTTAACACCTTACACGGTTGGAAATAATGACGTAACAGCCGCCGTCCAAAATGAATATATCCAATCATAGAAGCTGATGGGAAGCGCCAACAGCAGAGGGGACCAATCCTGTTCCGGTATGGGCGGGACTTCAGCATGTACTGTAAACTGAATGAGATTGTGTGGCGTAACCATAGAACAGTGGTTCTCAACTGGTGGGTCCCGACCCAAAAGTGGGTCCCAGACACGTTCTGGATGGGTCGTGAACAGCTGATCAAAAAAGTAAATATTTAATACGCATCTGATGTTTGACATGTTTTTTTATTTTGAAAAATAGCTTATTTTGAAAGGCACGCATCATGTCATGGTCCTCCTCGGTTTCTTATTAATGTGGCCTGAATGCAGTAAAATTACACGTTTTTCATGGTCTTTATTTTGTGCAATTTGATATTTATTCACTTTTGTCAATGCTGTTGCTCGGTCCTCCTCGTGTTCTTCTGAATATGCTCTGAACGCAGAGATGCAAATAAGTCAAATATTTCATTTTGCTTGTCTCCATTGTGTGCAATTTGATATTTGATATTTTCTGTATACGAAACTTAAGTAGTTGTCGCCCTCAGTTCATGTGCTCTGAAATGCACTTTATTCAACAAAATAGGAGTATTTATGTCAAAGATTTGAGTCTGTAAAGGTTCGTTTTTTATAAAAAATAAATTTGCCTGGTTTGAATTTTATAAAAGTGGGTTGCCACATAAGGACCATAAAAAAGTGTGGGTCCCAGAGTGAGACCAGTTGAGAACCACTGCCATAGACTGTAGGCCTATATATATATACTATCTATGAGTGTAGAGTAAGAATATATGCCCTCTTTTTTTATTTTTTATTTTTGCTGAAAACGTTATGTTGAGCGAAACTGAAAGTCAAATGGTGGAAATGTGAATAACTACAGCTGTGATGAAACAGCTGAAGGGGAGATGCTGCCCTCCCTTGGAAGGCCAGAGTAGTGTCAGCCTGCCAGCTAAGGAGTTCAAATTGGATTCAGTCCTTTTCAAAAGAGCAAAAAGTATGACCCTCTCTTCGCTAAAAAATGAGTTTGTGTTTTGAAAGATCACACATTTTTACCTGTCCCAAATAACTGCAAACACTTTTCAATATGACAAGGTTTCTATTGTTCCTGTACTCTGCTACCATTCAATATCAATTCTGACAAAAATAGCTGTCTTAAATCCATAACAATGCCTTATTATATAAATTAATATAAATTTCTCCACCATGGGATGAACAGAGGTTTATTTCCCGGTGTTACCTCATATTCTTCCATAACTGCAGGACAGAAATCCAAAAGTCTCGTGATAATGTTTTTCTGCCCTAAAAATGTTTCTGTTCACATTTATTTGATTAAACGCTCATTCCAGTCATATTGTTCTTTTTTTTTTTTTAACAAATGTTGAACTTGCAACTGACTTCACCTTAATCCATGTCATCTCCATTCTGTGATAGATAGATAGATATGACTAAAAAAAGAACAAAAAACAGTCTATTATATAGGCCACATTAAAATCCAAATAATAATACCATATCATTATCAAAATAAAGAACATTTATTTCACATTAATTCATACTTATTCTAAATTGTTATAAACTCATCATTCCTCAGTTTTCACTCCAGACAAAATAAGAGCTTTGGTTTCACAAATGTAGTGCCGCTGGCCTCGACAGACAATATCATCCCAGGAGTTCAGCCAGCCTTTCTGTCCAACAGTCTTTGGAGGGACAATGACAACACAGTCCTGTCCTGCACGGTCTTTGTCCCATTGAGCCACAGCATTGTTTGGCTCTCCAGGCATCCAGAACTTCAAATCTGACTTGGACTTGATACCATTTACCCACACAAATCTGTTATCCTGCACCATGTCCTGCAACCCGATCCATGCTGAATGGAACAGTACATTTGGATGCTGCTGTGTAAACTGGAAAGTCATGTTGGTCAGAAATGCCTGGTCTGCAGCATTCAAGACAACAGCCAGGTCAGCACCTTCATTAAAACACTCCCTACGAGCATCTTCCCACTTCATTGGTTGTGATGCCAAATGGAAGCAGCGTGTGGCGTGCTCAGCCCAACCAGGAAGGCAGCGTGAACATTGCAGGGTGCCTTTATCACAGAATCTCCAGAGGAAAGATAGTTTCTCCGACATCAGAATTGATTGTTGACGTTGATTTTCAGCTTTTAGTTGAGTTGAGGTCTGCCTTTCATTGATCAAAAGCTGTTGATATTTGATTTTGTCTTTTCTGAAAGAGTCACGGTTTTCCATAGTAGAATTCAATATGATTTTCATCTCCTCAATCTGCACTTGAAGCTGTGACTTTTCTGCCATGGTGTGGTTTAGTCTTCGGCTCAGTCTCTGATTTTCTTCCATGGAGTAGCTCAGACTCAGGCTCAGTTTTTGATTTTCTTCCTTGGTGCTGTTCAGACTCAGGCTCAGGTTCAGATTCTCTTCCATGGTGTAGTTCAGACTCAGCCTCAGTTTTTGATTTTCTTCCTTGGTGTGGTTTAATCTTTGGCTCAGATTCAGATTCTCTTCCATGGTGTAGTTTAGCCTTCTGCTCAATTTCTGATTTTCTTCCATGGTGTTGTTCAGACTCAGGCTCAGGTTCAGATTCTCCTCCATGGTGTAGTTCAGACTCAGCCTCAGTTTTTGATTTTCTTCCACGGTGAAGTTCAGACTCTGGCTCAATTTCTGATTATCTTCCATGGTGTGGTTTAGTCTTCGGCTCAGTCTCTGATTTTCTTCCATGGAGTAGCTCAGACTCAGGCTCAGTTTTTGATTTTCTTCCTTGGTGTGGTTGAGTCTTCGGCTCAGTTTCAGATTATCTTCCATGGTGTAGTTCAGACTCAGGCTCAATTTCTGATTATCTTCCATGGTGTAGTTTAGTCTTCTGCTCAATTTCTGATTTTCTTCCATGGTGTTGTTCAGACTCAGGCTCAGGTTCAGATTCTCTTCCATGGTGTAGTTCAGACTCAGCCTCAGTTTTTGATTTTCTTCCAAGGTGTTGTTCAGACCCAGGCTTAGGTTCAGATTCTCTTCCATGGTGTAGTTCAGACTCAGGCTCAATTTCTGATTTTCTTCCATGGTGTAGTTTAGTCTTCTGCTCAATTTCTGATTTTCTTCCATGGTGTTGTTCAGTCAGGCTCAGGTTCAGATTTCTCCATGGTGTAGTTCAGACTCAGCCTCAGTTTTTGATTTTCTTCCACGGTGAAGTTCAGACTCTTCTGCTCAATTTTTGATTTTCTTCCATGGTGTTGGTTTAGTCTTCGGCTCAGTCTCTGATTTTCTTCCATGGAGTAGCTCAGACTCAGGCTCAGTTTTTGATTTTCTTCCTTGGTGTGGTTTAGTCTTCGGCTCAGTTTCAGATTATCTTCCATGGTGTAGTTCAGACTCAGGCTCAATTTCTGATTATCTTCCATGGTGTAGTTTAGTCTTCTGCTCAATTTCTGATTTTCTTCCATGGTGTTGTTCAGACTCAGGCTCAGGTTCAGATTCTCTTCCATGGTGTAGTTCAGACACAGCCTGAGTTTTTGATTTTCTTCCATGATGTTGTTCAGACTCAGGCTCAGGTTCAGATTCTCTTCCATGGTGTAGTTCAGACTCAGGCTCAATTTCTGATTTTCTTCCATGGTGTAGTTTAGTCTTCTGCTCAATTTCTGATTTTCTTCCATGGTGTTGTTCAGACTCAGGCTCAGGTTCAGATTCTCCTCCATGGTGTAGTTCAGACTCAGCCTCAGTTTTTGATTTTCTTCCACAGTGAAGTTCAGACTCTGGCTCACTTTTTGATTTACTTCCATGGTGTGGTTCAGTCCCATGTGTGTTGATTCTAGAAGCTGTCTCAGCTGACTCCTTTCTTTCTGTAACTGCTTAACATTGATGCTCAGGCCAACAATGACAGTGATTAGGACTAAAAGCAGCACCAGGAAAACGACATGAAGAGTGCCTATCCAGCCAGATTGAAGTCTCTGTATGATGCGGTTATCAATCTCCGTTTTCTCTGTCTCATCTTGATCTGGTCTGTCTTGAAGTCTCTGTATGATGCTGTTATCAATCTCTGTTTTCTCTGTCTCATCTTGATCTGGTCTGTCTTGAGCCATTTCCTCCACAGAGCTTTCAGATGGGAAGCTAAAAGAAAAAGATGAGAAGCACTGAAGATCTTGTTGTAAAGGGTCTGAAAGCTAAGTCTTTCTATACAATATCTGTCATTCACAAACTGATGTGCACAAATCTGAGACATGATAAATATTGGAAAATTCCAAATACTCTCATTCTCTGAGTCGTCTGAATGAGCTGTATGAATGTCAGCAGTTCTGACCCGACCCAAACTGTTGGTATCTACACAAACAGAGCCTTAACCTCCAAACACATGACTTCATTTCAATAAAGTTAGGGCGCTGTGTACATACTTTATTTCAGTCTGTTAGTATATGACACATTCAATACAAACAAGGAAAAATTTTCATGTGAATGAAAAGGAGCAGAAAGAAACCTTGAACCGTTAAAGAAAAAGGTTGAGGCGCGGTTTTATAGAAACACCTTCACACAGGGACCCCTTGAACCGTTTTTTCTCCTTACCTTAGGTGGACGTGCTGTGGATCCGTCATTTCGCCGTGGGTTTCCTCGGACATGTTTTCCATCTTTGCTTTTCGCTTTCTTCCACGTTTTTACCAGTAGGTCTATGTTTCACTTTGAAGATTTCGATTGTCTCTTTCTTTAAGTGTAGCTACTCGCTGAAAGGTTCAAACGATACCCTGGACAGCTGCTCTACTTCCAGTTAGTAACACGAGATGAAAGCCGTGATGATGTCATAATGATGTCATCACGGAATTGTTCCTTTGATGCCATATTCTCTTGTTGTTTGTTTACATTTGAATTTTTCACATTTAAATGTAAAAAAAACCACACCCTATAACAATCATGTATTTTTCAAACCTGCTGTTAACCCACATTGATTTGAGCTGTTTTTGTAATAGATGCTTTATGAATTGATATGTATTGATGGGTTAAATAAGAAAACTTAGTATGACACACCAGCTGTTAAACTGAACTTTACAGACGCCATCTTGCCTGTCTACTTCTGTCCATTGTTGAACCAAAATTAAAAAATAGTTCTCTTTAAATGTACAAATCATATTTACTCATGAAGATAAAGTCATTATTGATTATACATTGCAGATATACTTTCCCCTGAACTCTATATTAATCAGTTATCCAAAAGCTTTTCCTCTGCTGATGAAAAGTGAAAACAAGAGTCCTGCAAGGATTAAAACTGACATGGGCCTACTTAACATGCGAAATTCAGAGAAATTTTAGCACTTTTTGACAACAGCAAGAGTAAATCAGAATTAACTCTCATTGGGACACACAAACCCCTCCACCACGGTAAGGTGGTAGCTCGAGGAGGGGGATAAAAACCCTCCCATGGGACGGAAAACCGCAAGGTTTATTTTATCTTTTGTGTGAAAAACACCGGATTATGGGTGCTTTTGTTTGTTGTTTTTTAATTTTCTTTCCAGTAGTTTTTTTTTTTTATTTTTTTTAGAATTATTATTTTTTTTTCCCATGTTGATGTTTTTTTTTTTCTTTTTTGTTTTTTCATCAGTTGTCTTAATTTATTTTTGTTTTTGGAGATTTCTTTTTGAAGATTTTTTTTTTTTTAAGTACTTCCTTACTTCGGGGAAGTTACTTCTTCCACTTCTCAGGCTTTCTTAACCCCAAGAATCAGAAATATTTCTTTTTTGTTTTTTAGTTTTCTTAGGGTGTTTTTTTGTTGTTGTTTTTTTTTTTGTTTTCAGAAATACTCTTCTTTTTCTTTTTTTTAGTTTTCTCTTTTTTCTGCCTGTTTTAAGGGTTTTCGACCTAGGCTCCCTCTCACCCTACCTTAAAGAGGTCGTCACTAATCTAATCTAATCTTTTAGTACATTGTAGTGTTAATTTGTTTTTTATCATCTTAGCACTTGCCGTGAGCCTCCTTATTTATACACTTATTTATTCTTTTGCATTACTGTATTTCTGCTTGCTTTATCTTGTTCTTTGATTGTTTTATTTGTTTTTATGTGTCACTGTACAGCACTTTGGCTACCCTTGTGGTTCTTTTAAATGTGCTATAGAAATAAAGTTGATTGATTGATTGATTTTTTTTTTTTTTGGTTTTCTTTCTTTATTTATTTATTTTTTTGAGATCTCTTTTTGAAGAGTTTTTTTTTTTTTTTTAAAGTACTTCCTTACTTCGAGGAAGTTACTTCTTCTTCCACTTCTCAGGCTTTCTTAACCCCAAGAAGTGTCTTGTTTGTTTCCAGACTGAAGAAGGTGGTTTGGTGGCATTAGAGGTTGGTGTCTCTGCTGGTCCTGCTGTTCCAACTAGTTCTGGAGATCCAGCAGTCACTTCGATTTCTAAAGCTCCTGCCAGTTCTTCAGCTCCAGAAGTTTCTGCAGTTTTCTCCAACTCCATGCAAAACTGCTCGATGTCCATGTCCATGAAGTCCTGCTCCTGAAGCGTCATCTCACTTTGCCTGATGCCTGTCTCTCGAAGTTGAAGCTCAGTTGAGAGTTCATTTGTTTTTTTGTTTTTTTCATTGTTAAAGCTGGTTTCTTGGGCCACTTTAAGCTCCTTGTTGTCCATCATACCGGCTGTCTGGATGTAGAGCTGTTGTTTCAGCTCCTCCAGCTCAGCCCAGTGCCTCCTCTCTGTTTCAAAAGCTGCCTGCTGCAGAACAGCAATCTTCTCCGTCATGGAGTCCTGTTCGGCTCTCAGGATCTGGATGGTCTGTTCCTGTAAGAGTCCATCATGGTGAGCCTGATTTTGCAGCTCACGCTGAAGGGTCTCAACTTCCTGTTTCGCAGCAGTGAGATCAGTTGCATACTGGAATTTCAGTGCTTGGTATGAGGTTCTTGTCTTCTCCTGTTCTTCATGGAGGACCGTGTTTCTTTCAGTCAGTTCCTGGACTTGTGTTGTGAGCCTCTCATTTTCCACAATATGTGCCACCTTCAGCTCCTCGTAATCGACATGAAGATCCTTCTTCTTCTTCTGCCGGCTCGTGTCCCTCACCTTAAGAGCAATTCTGTGTTTGGAGAGGGTCTCCTGTGAGCTGTACTTTTGAAGCATCTGCAGCTCCTTTTTGAGCTCCTTCCCTTTGTTAATGTACACTTCCTTGAGAGCCCTTTGCCTGGTCAGCTTCTGATGAATCACCTCCAACTCCTGGCTGAGCAAGAGTGTTCGGTTCTTCTCTCTCTCCAGCTGTCCAGTGAGCTTCTGTTGAGTCACCTCCAACTCCTGGCTGAGCAAGAGTGTTCGGTTCTTCTCACTCTCCAGCTGTCCAGTGAGCTGAGCCACAGTCCTGCGGAGTGTCTCCATCTCTCTGTCCCTCAAGTAGAAGGGCCTGTTAATCCTGGGTCGGTTTGTTGGTCGCTGCATTGTCTTTGACTGTTTGTAGTCTCAGAGTTCCGCTGCTAAAAGATTTCGATTGTCTCTTTCTTTAAGTGTAGCTACTCGCTGAAAGGTTCAAACGATACCCTGGACAGCTGCTCTACTTCCAGTTAGTAACACGAGATGAAAGCCGTGATGATGTCATAATGATGTCATCACGGAATTGTTCCTTTGATGCCATATTCTCTTGTTGTTTGTTTACATCATGTATTTTTCAAACCTGCTGTTAACCCACATTGATTTGAGCTGTTTTTGTAATCTTAGTTTATTCCTCTGTTACATAGCCCGCGTCGATTTAGCTGAAGTGAGTAATTCGCTTGGGGACGTCGTTAAGGTACATTTACGTTGCTTTAAATGGGTATTAAAGGTATTTTGCTGATGTTACAGCACGGAAAGTGACTTTTAAGCTAAGCTGCTAATGTAAACACAGTATACTCCAAATTTTCACTGCATATTTTTCTGTAGAAGTAGTTTTCCTTGAAGCTTTTGTAATTGCACCATCTTTAAAAAACTAAATAAGTATTGGATACCAAAACGCATGCTTCTTTATGGAAGTAAATCTGTGCCATCTGATTTTGAAATTGAATTTCTAAAGCTGATTTTTTTTGCATCAAAATCAGACTTTGAATTTCAAAACTATTGAATTTCAAGCATGCATTTTTATTTCTGACGCTTTTTTTTCACAATGATGATATGCATTCAGTGTAAAAAAAATCAGTCTCTCAAAAAATTTGTTGAGTAAAAATTTGACTTAAAAAAACGTGTAAAAAAAAATTCTGTGTCAAAAAATTTAGTGTAAAACAGACTGACTCAACATCCAGGTAACCAGGGAGAGCAATTGATTCCTGGCTCAATCATCCATCGTCCAGCTAATCAATTAAAGCTAGATTGGTCATGTGGCACCGACCCCAGTGGAAGATTGAGAAATCGATTGCTTCTCCCTGATTACGCGGATGTTGAGTCAGTTTGTTTTACACAAAATTTTTTGACACTGAAAAATTTTTTATGTTGAATTTTTTTTTTTACACAGTTTTATTTTAGGTCGAATTTTTACTACACGAATAATTTGAGAGACTGTTTTTTTTAAACCGAATTTATCATCATTGTGGAAAAAAAATAATGCGTGCTTTGAAATTCAAAGTCTGATTTTGATGCAAAAAAAAATCATTAGATAACCGTCAGCATTGTGAACTCATCCTCTGAACATTCTTTCTCCCTTTTTATGTTATAGTTCAGTCAAAAGAAAAACTGGACCAGCTTTGCTGATTTATGAGTATAACCAGACATTTATGTTTTAGGGTTTTTCATCTCCACTCAGCCATGCCATATCTTAAAACAGCTGCAAAAAACCAGACACGATCATCATTGTTGGATATCAAGTCACGGAAATGTGGACTACGGCACACTGTGTTCTTTGTGAATGGAAATGAATATACAGGAGAGTGGAAAGACAACCAGAAGCATGGTGAGCGGCTTCTTCCACCACAACTCCTTTGGTCACCTAGTTATAACATGTGAAGTACTTGCTATGTAATGGATGACATTTACACTTTTAATGTGTCTTTTAGGAAAGGGAACTCAGGTTTGGAAGGAGTCTGGAATGATTTATGATGGAGAGTGGAAATTCGGAAAACGTGATGGATATGGTACCTACAGTGTGCTTCTCCCTCAAAGGAAGGAGTACTTGAGAAAGTACTGTGGGGAATGGAAGAATGGAAAGAAGCATGTATTGAAATACTATTATTTATATACACTGTAACATCAATAATGCCTGTTGTCTGAGCTTACATTGCCTGTGTCATATATCGCTAATCATTACCTTTCTCTCTAGGGGTATGGGACATACTTCTTCAGTCACTCATCAGTTTATGAGGGGGAGTGGAGTGAGGACGAACGGAGTGGCTGGGGAAGAATGTTCTATGAGAATGGAGACATCTATGAGGGAGAGTGGATGAAGGATAAGAATCATGGAAAAGGCATCATTCAATTTTGTAAGCAGACTTTGCTATCATACATTTTCAGTTAAAATGGATTAGAAATTGAGTGTGACAATGTTTGTAGATCTAACATTTGACTTTTCTCCTTTCTTGAGTGAATGGAAACTGGTATGAAGGCACCTGGAAAAATGGCTTGAAAAATGGAAACGGGAAATTCTATCATTCTGACAAAGGTCAACTTTATGAAGGTTTTTGGGTGGATGGGGTTGCAAAATGTGGAACTCTGTCTGATTTTGGAAGAGATGACGCACCTGCACCGACAAGATACCCAATCCCACAGGTACAACATTTTCCTTATGACACAGTCACAGATCCATTTACAATTCAGCCCTTGTGTGACAAATCAAATAAACATTTGTAATAAAGCTCTTTCTCTTGGCGTAACTGTGAAGAAATGAAGCTTTTCTTTGTTTTTCAAGGTTCAACTGGTCGACATGCAATTGGTTCTAAGGGAAGGCCAGTCAGCCTACCTTACCAGAGTTGAAGAGGGACAAGAGGAAGACCGATAGCAAGTTTCCACTCTGCCGTACATTTACTGCCAAATAATAAAATTGGCATAATTTCATTTTGTGTGTTCATATTTGAATATTTTCAGCTAAATCACTTGTTTGTTATTAGTGAAAAAAAAAATCAGAGAAATACTTGAAATGGACTGAAAAACAAAGATAAGTGAAATAACACACTGATTTAGTTTACTGCCAAAAAGATGGTTAAATACAATACCTTGCATGACAATAAAAGGTTTACACTAAATTTCATTATCATTGAATAGTTTGCCAAAGCTCTTAGTGAAGCTTCTTGAATATTAGATTATGTTTATAAGGAAAAACCTGATGAAAATGACACTGCTTTGTTACATTACAAACAGAGCAAGGGTACAAAAGCTCATCATGTTACACGCCAGTATAAATGGATCATGCAGCTAAGTTTTAAGTTCCTGTGATTCAATTTCAAGTATGTCTATTTCAACAGAACAAAATTTATAGTGATGCCTAAACCAAAACAAACGAGTTCATTCGCAAAAGGTCAGAAATTTTCTATAATTAAAATGCTGTAACTGCTTGGTAGGGGTCAGTAGGTGTAATTTACAGGATGGTATAGAAAAACCCTTCACAGTGAGTGCCATTCAGGGATGACTTTTTACACAAACCAGTAATGGTTACTCTTTTTGTTTCATTATGAAATCCAAGAGATTTAACCCTGTTTTTTTTAAATAGTTATAATGCCATATCTGCCCCACAACTTCCCATTACTTTGACTGAAAACCACTCCTGGACATCATCTACATACAGTCTACATGCACCTCCAGCACAGGCTACTAACCCAGACTGACTCGTCTCTCTAAATATGTGAGAACAAAACATCCTACTATGTAACGGTAATCTTGAAGAAATATCACTGTTACTTAAGTGCACTTCATGTGTCAAGAGTGACTGATAAAAACGACATGCTAACTTAGTGCTTGAAAAACAAAGGGGGTACCAAGGCTTTACAGAATAAAGCACGAGAGCACTGGTGTAGATTATTAACAAGTACAAGCAGTCTCATGTGCTCATGAGACAAAAAATTTCACATTTACTGAATATTCCAGGTGTGATTTGCCCAACCTGTGTCAAAAATTAAAAATATATAGCACAAATAGAGAATACATTTACATATTTCAGGATGCTTTACAAAATGAAAAGTGTTCATTCTTGGAACAAAGCTTGTGCTACAGATGTCAGCATGTATCCTTTAATAATACTGGAGTTTTGGCAATCAGTCTACACAAATGGCAGTCCTTACATTCATGAAGTGAACTTTACAATAAACCAGGTATATAGTCAACAAAAAGAGGTTAAATACTTTCTGTTTGCACAGCCAGGTAATTTATGTGTCAACAGAAAAACTATAGTAGACAAACAGGTTAATAAATAGCAGGCAACAGACAGGATTCAAGTTATTGTTCAGATGTTTTTTTTTTGTGAGTGCTATAAATTAAGTGAGAAATCAAACAGCTGTCACAGTTAAGACTTCAAATTTAAGTTACATGCGTAATGGCAAATTTGTGAGTTCACAGTTTATCAAACGTGTTCTAAAAATACAACTCTTTACATAAAAGAACAATTTCACAACAAAAAGGTGATACATCTGTAAAAACAGAAGCCAAAATGCCGCTTCTAACTTGAGAGAAATCTCAGGAAATCAGAGTTCCACCATGAGTCCAACATACTTGTTGTCTAAGGGAAATTTGAGCTAGGAGACTGCAGGATAGAAGATTCGCCCCTGTTGTCCAGCTCATTCTGTAGCCTGGTGAGATTAGAAAGCTCCTCCAGCTCCTGAAACTGTCTGTCCGTCTTGTGGCTGACCAGTGAGCGGTAGAAATGCACAGCAAAGACTATGAAGACTAAACCAAAGGGAACCATGATGGAGGTGGACGTGATCGCAGCAGCCACACCGGACGAAACTGTGCTGTTGCTGGACTTGTTAGGGCCCGAGCCAGCTGCAGAGCAGCCGGGCGTAGAGCCCTATTATTCCTGTATGGGTTCTTCTTTCTTCTTTCTTTCTTTCTTCTAATTTTCCTCCCCTTTGAAGGGGAAAATGGCCCACTTCCCACTGGGGAAAACTCATGAAATTTGGCAGGACGACCGGGCCTGGTGAAAAATTCGATATTCTGAAGTCGCCGAAAAATGGCTCCATAGCGCCCCCTAAGGTGAAAATTCACACTATCGAGTGTCACGCCTGTACGCTTTGTCATATTGACACAAAAATTGACACACACATGTATCTCAATAAGATCTACAAAAAAGTCAGTGCGGGCGTATCTGTCAAATGTACGGTTAAAGGGCTATTTCGCATTTTTTGCCGATCCGCACACATTGGAATTTCGCTAACTCCTCCGAAGGCTTTCGTTCCACCGGCACCACATTTGCTCAGGCCAATCTACACCCCATGGCCATTAAAAGTTGTACAAATCATGACGCTGCACCCCACGGTTTAGGTTCTAGGGGGCGCCAAAAATAACGCAAAAATCCACATTCTTAAAAGTCTTATAACTTTTTATTTTTGTCCTCACTGGCCTCCAAGTTTTCTAGGATGATGCAATGTCTAGCCATCAACACATTTGTGAAGGAATTTTTACTCCCCAAAAGAGCGCCCCCCCATGGCAGGAGAAAAAAGTCCATTTTTTCTTGTCCCCTAAGGTTAAAATACATATTGTTGAGTGTCACGCCTATACGCTTTGTCATATTGAAACAAAATTTGACAATCACGTGTATCTCAATAAGATCTACGAAAAAGTCAATGCGCACATATCTGTAAAATGTACGGTTAAAGGGCTATTACGCATTTTTTGCCGATTCGCACACATTGGAATGTGGCTAACTCCTCCTTAAGCTTTCGTTCCACCGGCACCAAATTTGCTCAGGCCAATCTACATCCCATGGCCATTAAAAGTTGTACAAATCATGACGCTGCACCCCACGGTTTACGTTCTAGGGGGCGCCAAAGATAACCCAAAAATCCACATTCTTAAAAGTCTTATAACTTTTTATTTTTGTCCTCACTGGCCTCCAAGTTTTCTAGGATGATGCAATGTCTAGCCATCAACACATTTGTGAAGGAATTTTTACTCCCCAAAAGAGCGCCCCCCCCATGGCAGGAGAAAAAAGTCCATTTTTTCTTGTCCCCTAAGGTGAAAATACATATTGTTGAGTGTCACGCCTATACGCTTTGTCATATTGAAACAAAATTTGACAATCACGTGTATCTCAATAAGATCTACGAAAAAGTCAATGCGCACGTATCTGTAAAATGTACGGTTAAAGGGCTATTACGCATTTTTTGCCGATTCGCACACATTGGAATGTGGCTAACTCCTCCTTAAGCTTTCGTTCCACCGGCACCAAATTTGCTCAGGCCAATCTACATCCCATGGCCATTAAAAGTTGTACAAATCATGACGCTGCACCCCACGGTTTACGTTCTAGGGGGCGCCAAAGATAACCCAAAAATCCACATTCTTAAAAGTCTTATAACTTTTTATTTTTGTCCTCACTGGCCTCCAAGTTTTCTAGGATGATGCAATGTCTAGCCATCAACACATTTGTGAAGGAATTTTTACTCCCTAAAAGAGTGCTCCCCTGCATTAATCTCATCAGTCAAATCACCCAGATATGGCCCCAGTGGGGGCACCCACTCCCCACTTTTTGCTGTAAAAACAATGCTGTCTGTGTCATAGTACAGCACATGCTCCTGCAGTTTGTCTAACAAATCATACAGCATCATTCTGGCATAGGCTGTTGTCATGGCACTGACAAAGAAATTGACATCCTTGGTTCTAGATCCATGCGCATCAGCATGACGCCACTGGACCATAGCTACCTTCTCACTGATGAAGCAGAACTGTCTCACATCATAGTGATTGCTAAACATGAATCTAGCTGTGTGAATCTAGCAGGATCAGTGATCAGCTCGCATGAAGGCGTGTTATTCCGCATACAGAACCTGCCCCGCAAAGAGTTGAGGAGAAGTTTGTTACAGCTCCTAACTGCTTTGTTTACCTTGATCTTGTCCGGGTCAAGCCTGAACCCCTCCTTTTCAAAGTAGTCATCAATGTATTTCTGCTGATCAGCCTCTGTTTTGACGTGAGAGGGGTAACCAGAAGCCTCCTGCTTACATTTCAGAAATGTCTTGACATACTCACGAAACAATGTGTCTGACTTGTTGGGGAAATGCCACACTTCGTCAATAACCACCACCTGGTACCCTTTTTCAACTGTCTTTTGGAGCTCAAATGAGACCCATACACCTGAAAGTTGCCTCTCACCATCACGGTTTGTGCACTCAGTGGCTTGGTTTAACTCTTCAGCACAAGTGCGGCATAGCGGGAACATGAGTTTTTTATGACACCTGTAGGGGAGGACCGGGTGAAGAAGACGTCTGGGTGGGAGCACAGTGGATTTTACAAGCCCGAAATACTTATCCAAAGATTCAAAATCAGGTGTGCCAGCCACTGCATGGAGACCGCAGAGTACGTTTATGTTCTGGCTTACATACGCCCCCTCGTACATGAGCGCCAGAGTGTCTTTGGGTAGAAAAAGCGTCTTGGACACACCCATACAGCTAGACGCAAGAGTGGTGAAGGAGAAGGGATCGTGTGTACAACCCAGAAATGTTTTGCAGTAAAATGAAAATCAAAAGTCTCATCACGAACCGTGTTATACCAGCGCATGAATACCTCCTTCTCTTCACTGCTCTTGGTGTCGTAGCCATAGTAGGATGGCTCAGGGTACGGCCCGACATAGTGCTCATTTTCCCTGGTGTTGAACCTGTGCAGGACATGGCCTTTCTCGAGATCTGCAAATCCCATAGCAGCTGGTGTTTTAGACAATCTCATAGGCAGGAAGCTGAATGCATCAAGCCATCGCTGTTTGTATGCCTCGTTGTACATCAGGATAATCCTACTACCCCTCATTGTCAGCTTAGGGATGAGACCACTCTGTGCAAAGTACTCCAACACAAGGTTCCTGAGGCGTTGTGCGCAATAAATGTGTAGGAGCTGTATTTTGGTCTTCTGAAGTGTTTAACAAACCCAGCTACACAATTTTTGCCATTAAAGCAAAACTTCTGTCCCTCCATGTCTATAGAATAGACAAGGTTAGCCTCATGCTCTCCATCATGATACCATGTCTCAAAGTCATAAAATATATACTTTGTTCCAGGTTCTTGTCTTTTAAGGGGCTGAATGAAGCAAGTGTGTGTGACTCATCCCCATGCAATGTGTGTTCACCGCAATGTGTGCATGTGGCTCCGCGGCACTGATGCAGTTTGAAAGCTTTTTTTTGGTAAATTCTTGAGCATGCATAACAGTACTTTTAGGTGTCGCATGGCACAAGACCGTGTTTAATGTTTTTCAGCTTGTGATTGTAAAAACAGCGTCTGGATTTACAGATCCACTTGCATGTTTGACACTTTACACTTACATCTTTTGTGGTTTGGCACTGAGTAAAGGATCACAGATCTGGATCACAGAATCACTGTAGTGGAAAGACACTGAGTGGATTGGAGGACACCGTACGGATGGGTGCGGGTCTTGCAACAGAAGTCAACTGGCTGAACGAGCCCCTCCCTTGCCCCCATTAGTGTAAATGTGCTTCTTGGTTCCTGAAATTCTTTGATGACTGCTAGCGTGGGCTTGGCGTGGCTCAGCAGCAATGCGGAAGGTCGGTGCGTGCAGTCAGGATGGCCGAGCGGTCCAAGGCGCTGCGTTCAGTCTCCTCTTGAGGCGTGGGTTCGAATCCCACTTCTGACAGGCTGTGCTTTTCGCTGGCACCCTTGTCTGCCGCTAGACGTGGAGACAGACCTCTCATCAAGTACGTATGTATGTCAGGTCACGTAAGACGAAGAAAACACAGTGAGAGCGGTGTGACTGAGACTGATTGAAAGCAGTACAGTGCCTCTGGCCTCCAGCCTCTGGCACATGTTCCTGTGAGCAGAAAATGGAGGTGCTGTTCTGCCACAGAGCACAATCTTTGATGGTTTCAATGACCACTCTTTGTCAAGTCGCCATTCAAGGTTGCTTTTTTTTATTCTACCGTCTGTTTGGCATGCACATGGAAGTCCCTTCTGTGGCCTTTTGTGCGTGCAGCAGCAAGTGTACACGGCGATGGTGTGTGGAAATACTCTTTGACAACTCTTTCAGGGAGCTCTCCAGTGGTTCCATGGTGTAATGGTGAGCACTCTGGACTCTGAATCCAGCTATCCGAGTTCAAATCTCAGTGGGACCTGCATTTGAGTGTCTGGTACTAAGTATACTCACGAGGCCCTCAAGACACGCGCCCGCCTCCACTGAGAGCCTTTCCAAGGTGGCCCAATCATCTGGCCCTCCTCAACGATCCCCCCTCGCATTAGCCTTTGATTCTCTTAGCACTGCCCTGGTTTTGAGTACTCTTAGCATTCTGGCTAAAAGTCATCATGGAAATGTTAAACCTGTAGAGGTTAGATGCCTGTAGAGTGGGCTGCACTCATGGGAATATAGCAAGAAGGGCCATGGTGGGGACGGGTTTTCAGCTGCACAGACCCATTCTGGAAACCATGGGCGAAGCAAAGCCTTTCACCACAAGCGTGACAGACAAGGAGCAACACAGAAGGAGACAACCAGACAAGGCTGTGGCACATGAGAGACTAGTGTCTCCTAAACTCCACACGAGGTCCCACCGAGATTTGAACTCGGATCACTGGATTCAGAGTCCAGAGTGCTGACCATTACACCATGGAACCGCCATGAAAGTGCAGCAGAACATGTTTCTTGATTGACCTCAGTGTACGTGCCGCTGTAAAGGATACGCTTCTTTCACAGGACTAAGCTTAATTGCAGGCATCCAGGCACCAAGCACAGCCAGCTATTGCTACCTTGACAAACTAGAGAGGCAGTAATACTACAAGATCAATACATTTTCAAGACCAGCACATGAGCTCGGGCCCGAGCATTTGTCAAAGCTGGAGTGACCTGACTGGTTTGGCCTTGTATTTGACTTCCTCACCCCTGAAAGAAGCTCTGTCATTGTCCTATGACCCAAAATATTTGACTTGGTGGTACCTTGATTTGAACAGTAGCGGTGGGGACTCTGAATCCAGCATTGAGGGCAGGGCTCAATAAGGGCTGGACTCTGGGGACAGGATCACTGGATCACAGAATCACTGTAGTGGAAAGACACTGAGTGGATTGGAAGACACCGTACGGATGGGTGATGGTCTTGCAACAGAAGTCAACTGGCTGAACGAGCCCCTCCCTTGCCCCCATTAGTGTAAATGTGCTTCTTGGTTCCTGAAATTCTTTGATGACTGCTAGCGTGGGCTTGGCGTGGCTCAGCAGCGATGCGGAAGGTCGGTGCGTGCAGTCAGGATGGCCGAGCGGTCCAAGGCGCTGCGTTCAGGTCGCAGTCTCCTCTGGAGGCGTGGGTTCGAATCCCACTTCTGACAGGCTGTGCTTTTCGCTGGCACCCTTGTCTGCCGCTGGACGTGGAGACAGACCTCTCATCAAGTACGTATGTACAGGTGCTGGCCAGTAAATTAGAATACCATCAAAAACTTGATTTATCTCAGTAATTCCATTCAAAAAGTCAAACTTGTACATTATATTCATGCAATGCACACAGACCGATGTATTTCCAATGTTTATTTCTTTTAATTTTGATATTTATAAGTGACAACTAATGAAAACTCCAAATTTGGTATCTCAAAAAATTAGAATATTGAAAAGGCCAATGAAAAAAAATGTTTTTTTTGAAATGTTGGCCAACTGAAAAGAATGAACATGAAAAGAATGCCCATGTATAGCACTCAATACTTAGTCGGGGCTCCTTTTGCCTCAATCACTGCATTAATGCGGCGTGGCATGGACTCGATTAGTCTGTGGCACTGCTCAGGTGTTATGAGAGCCCAGGTCGCTCTGATAGTCGTCTTCAGCTCTTCTGCATTGTTGGGTCTAGCGTATTGCATCTTCCGCTTCACAATACCCCATAGATTTTCTATGGGGTTAAGGTCAGGCGAGTTTGCTGGCCAATCAAGGACAGGGATACCATGGTCCTTGAACCAGGTACTGGTGGTTTTGGCACTGTGTGCAGGTGCCAAGTCCTGTTGAAAAGTGAAATCTGCATCTCCATAAAGTTGGTCAGCAGCAGGAAGCATGAAGTGCTCTAAAACTTCCTGGTAGACGGCTGCATTGACCTTGGACCTCAGGAAACAGAGTGGGCCAACACCGGCAGATGACATGGCTCCCCACACCATCACTGACGGTGGAAACTTTACACTGGACCTCATGCAACGGGGATTCTGTGCTTCTCCGCTCTTCCTCCAGACTCTGGGTCCTTGATTTCCAAAGGAAATGCAAAATTTGCTTTCATCAGAAAACATAACTTTGGACCACTCAGCAGCAGTCCAGTCCTTTTTGTCCTTGGCCCAGGCGAGACGCTTCTTACGCTGTTTCTTGTTCAAGAGTGGCTTGACACACGGAATGCGACAGCTGAATCCCATGTCTTTCATGCGTCTCTTCGTGGTGGTTCTTGAAGCGCTGACTCCAGCTGCAGTCCACTCTTTGTGGATCTCCCCCACATTTTTGAATGGGTTTGTCGTCACAATTCTCTGCAGGGTGCGGTTATCCCTAGAGCTTGTACACTTTTTTCTACCACATTTTTTCCGCCCCTTCGCCTGTCTGTTAATGTGCTTGGACACAGAGCTCTGCGAACAGCCAGCTTCTGTAGCAATCACCTTTTGTGTCTTGCCCTCCTTGTACAAGGTGTCAATGGTCGTCTTTTGGACAACTGTTAAGTCAGAAGTCTTCCCCATGATTGTGGAGCCTTCAGAACAAGACTGAGGTACCTTTTAAAGGCCTTTGCAGGTGTTTTGAGTTAATCAGCTGATTAGTGTGGCACCAGGTGTCTTCTATATTGAGCCTTTTCAGAATATTCTAATTTTCTGAGATACTGAATTTGGTGTTTTCATTAGCTGTCAGTTGTAATAATAAAAATGAAAATTAATAAACACTTGAAATATATCACTATGTGTGGAAGGAAAGTATACAGTATACAAGTTTCACGTTTTGAATGGAATTACTGAAATAATTCAACTTTTTGATGATATTCTAATTTACTGGCCAGCACCTGTATGTCAGGTCACGTAAGACGAAGAAAACACAGTGAGAGCGGTGTGACTGAGACTGATTGAAAGCAGTACAGTGCCTCTGGCCTCCAGCCTCTGGCACATGTTCCTGTGAGCAGCAGATGGAGGTGCTGTTCTGGCACAGAGCACAATCTTTGATGATTTCAATGGCCATTCTTTGTCAAGTTGCCATTCAAGGTTGCTTTTTTTTATTCTACCGTCTGTTTGGCTTGCACATGGAAGTCCCTTCTGTGGCCTTTTGTGCGTGCAGCAGCAAGTGTACACGGCGACGGTGTGTGGAAATAGTCTTTGACAACTCTTTCAGGGAGCTCTCCAGTGGTTCCATGGTGTAATGGTGAGCACTCTGGACTCTGAATCCAGCGATCCGAGTTCAAATCTCGGTGGGACCTGCATTTAGAGTGTCTGGTACTAACTATACTCACGAGGCCCTCAAGACACGCGCCCGCCTCCACTGAGAGCCTTTCCAAGGTGGCCCAATCATCTGGCCCTCCTCAACGATCCCCCCTCGCATTATCCTTTGATTCTCTTAGCACTGCCCTGGTTTTGAGTGCTCTTAGCATTCTGGCTAAAAGTCATCATGGAAATGTTAAACCTGTAGAGGTTAGCTGCCTGTAGAGTGGGCTGCACTCATGGGAATATAGCAAGAAGGGCCATGGTGGGGACGGGTTTTCAGCTGCACAGACCCATTCT